TTTTTGTTGTAGGAGGAAGATGACGAAAGGCGTCCGTGTAGGGTTTGGAAGCTGGGGTTTGGATGGAATTTTGGAGAGACAATATGGAATCCCCAAACTCGCGGAAAGGCTCAACAGTTCTTTTGATCTGGCTTGCACGACTCGTTGCTGCCTTTAAGGCAGTGTTGGTTATAAGATCATGAATCTGCAACGCCACCTCGGCGCCGAGTCCGATTGCGCCTGATTGTTTGAATAGATCCAATCCTCCCGACCTGGAGTGCATCTCTCTCTCTGTAAGGCTCTCCCCGTCGGGAACCGGTTGATTTCGAGCAGTAACATCGGACACCCGTCGTATGGTCGATGGCGAGATATCGCTTTGGGCAGACACTCTGGATCTCTGGGCGCGTGCTGTTTATGTACTTCTGTTGTTGGAGATGGATTCGCGAAAGAGGGAATTCCCATGAGCCGTAAAAAGGAAAAAAGAGAGGACTGGCGAGTCCCAATTGTAAGGCTACGCTTGGAGCTGTTTGCGCGGTTTGCTGTAGAGAGGTGGCTGTGAAGAATGTGTATCTCGTCTCTCAACTGTGCGATCTCTGTTTCGAGGCCGTTCCTTGATGGTGTCATCATGTCAGCAAGTTCTGCCCAACACTCCAATTCCTCGACGATGACCTACGACTCGAGTTGCACAAGTTGCATACTCATTTTCATACTAGCTTTGAGCCCTTCGAGCTGTAGCTGCAACTCGTTCATCCTGGGAACAAGGCTTTTCCTCCAACTCCATGCTGCAAAGAATCGTTGACGAAAGTGGGACTCGCTGCCTATCTCTGTTCTGTGTGACTCGATCATGGCTTGCTGGTCTTGGAGAGACTTCGTCAACTCCTCGCATTGCGCATGCAGCAGTTCCAGTACCCCTTCCGTGTGTATGAAGTGGATGACCGAGGAAGTGTCGTCATCCGGGCGTCTCCTGGCCAAGCTTAGCTGTGCGCTTTCAATCAACTTAGCAAGACTGGTAAGAAACTCGGAATCAGCTTTGAGACGGCGTGCAATCCTGGTCGAGTCCCTTGATATCTTGGCGACATCGAGTATTGCTGAGGTGATCCATTCCCTCCAGTGTTTCATCCCGAGGACGGGCTGGCTATGCCGTGGTGAACCAGGAATGACTGATGTGGATAGGATACACAGAAAAGGACCAGAGAAAGTCAAAGGCTCGGGGCGAGGGTAAGAGCTCCATTTTGAGCTGTCAAGTATCCCATGGGGGCCGAGAAGGTTATGGTGAATTTCTTGGGGCTTCAAGCATTAGGGCGCGGGGGAATGAAGTGCAAGAAGCGTAAAAATGGCTTGGGCAAAGTTGACGAGAGCACCAAGCCCCGTGTCGAGGGCAACATGAATAGCGAGACATGCCTACGGCAACTTCTTGGTGCCAACTGGCAAGTGCAATTCACGGAGTACATGCAAGCTTGTGAAATGAGTTGCCTCACGTATCCAATTGGGCAGCTACGTCTGGAGCCCGACGCATCGATAACAGTGTCTATCCATCAAACGTGGGACAGGCGAGGCCACGCCTGCCATCCTTAAGTCAAGTTTCCAATCGACAATTCCATCTGAAAGCATTTCCTCCGGACTTTCCTTCACAACAACTGTGAGTCAAGTTTTGAGTGGGTCGAGCAATTTGCAACATCAGTAAAGAAGAAGGGAAAGAACAAAGGAGATTGCCAGGAATCTGGCGTGAAACGGCACTTGCTGTCCCTGTGCTCATTGTGTAGCGAGGAAAAACATGAAAAAATAATCCTCCTAACTTTTGATCACCAATCTCTTGACTCCGTCTCTCCTCTGTTTTCCGCATAATCGCACGCCGCTTTGCCTTCCCCGAATCAGAAATGCATTCCCTTCGAACCTACTGTGTAGGTTGCACCGCTTCGGTCTCAAAACAAAAGAAACCCGATACCTCCCTCTGCAGCTCCCACTCCCCGTTCAGGCTTCACGCCTAGACATTCTGAGCCGCCGGCATTGTTTTCAACACAATACCCTGCTCACATGGATCTTCTCTCGAAACAATGCATTCCCTCGTCATCTTTGGGATGACCCCAATCTCCCACTCATCATCCGACCGATTAACTTTCCAAGTCAGCGTCACTCTGCCAATCCCTTCATGGCATTTCGAATCCCATTTGAAACTCGTCCCATCAGGAATCCTTACGAACTTCGGATCCTCCAACAGCGTCTCTTCGGGCCACATCAGCTCATCGATCAGCGTACGCAGCGAGATGATTCCGTAGTAGTGAATCTCTCTCCCTTTACCACGTTTATCGTGCAGGTTGGCGATGTACAAAGAAGTGTCTAGGCGTACTGGTAGGCTGCGCCATTGCTTCCGGTAGTCGAGAATCTCGACGGGTAGGATCATGGGAGGAGGACGTTCGGCGGTTGGGCACCTTGAGAGAGTTATCCATGGTATGGGGGCTCTGAGCGTTTCGCCGGATCGGCTTGGTACCGGCGCAAGGTCATTATCCGATGCTGAATAAGGTGAAGGGCTCCGAGACTTCGGAGGCACTGGTCCATCAATTATGGGAATGTTGTGGGTGTTGGGTGATGGGGATCGAGAATGTGGGTGATCTGGGCCGGAGTTTGAGTTTGTCCCTAGGTACAGTTCATCCTTCGGCTTGGGCTGTACGTCCGATTGCTGTGCTGAGAGAGGATTTACTCCCGGGGCAGGTGTGGCAGGCTCGATGATAATGCCGGGTTTGGTGGGCTCCAGTTCCGGCACAGTGCCGCCGGTATATGGGGGCGTATCCGGTGCTGGTCCGGACTGAGTGTCTTGTTGCAGTCTTGGGGTTCGCGGCCGGTAAGCCTCCGGTCTAATACTCAGCCCAGGCTCTCGCACAGTTTCCCCAAACTGGGATGTCCCTGAGTTACCAGATGGCCTCCTGGACCTATGTCGCCTCTGTGTCTGTCTGGAGCCTTCCTTCGACAATGACATGGCTTCCCCGGGAGTAATCCGCGGCGGGGACGTCATCTCTCCGGGAGCAAGCTGTGACCTGGACATGGCTTTTTCAAGAGTTTCAGTGCTTTGGTAGCACATTGGGCAAGTTGAGGGTGATAATTCTCCCTTAGGCCAAGTTCCAAAGTTGGGTCTGACCGTAAGAGCCTCGATAGAGGCAGACAAAGGAGGGGGTGGCAAGCCCTTTGGAGGAGCTTTGCCCGTGTTGCGTACACAGCTTGCAAGGTAGCATATCTCCGTCGTTGCATCGGCATTCTTCCTCCTGGGCTGAGTACGTGAAGGAAATTCCTTCCGCAGTTGCTCAATGGTTTCGATGTGGTTTTTGATAAGCTGTCTCAGCGCGTCTCTGGAAGCAGCTTCGTCAGCGAGGAGCTCTTCTCAGTTGGAACCGTTTGGTACTCACATCTCTTCTTTCTTTCGACGCGACTCAGAACGGGACTGAGAACGAGATTTAGAGGCTTCTCCATTGCGGGCCATGATCTCGAGCTGGATGATTGCCAAGACCAACTGAATAGTTGACTTCAGCTGCTCCATTCGTGGATGGAGGGCCTCCAGCTTGGGTTTTCTGATTTTCTCCCATTTCCATGCAGCATAGAACCGAGCGGGATAGCTGCTGTTCTTGTTGGCGTGTTTTTGCTGCAACAGTTGTATCTTCTTCATCTGCACAAGGATATCACCATCCAAAGCTTTCGCATCGTCCTCTATGCACCGAAAGATCTTACGATCATGCATATAGCCGACAAGTTCCGCTCCAGCCGCCGGAAGTCGATATTTGATAGAGTATTCGGCTGTATGGATCAAGTCACGGAAGGATCGGAAGGGCAAAGCGTCATTGTGGAGCTGACTGCGTATCGTCCTTGCGGCGTCGGCAGTTTCGACTATGAGTTTGAAGAGGTTGAATGCGGCCGCTGCAACACCCAGCACAGCACTTCCGGTTTCGAATATTTCGGCCATGTTGAGCCTCTCAAGGAGAATATTCCAGCTTAATTTATGAATTGGTACCAGTGGAAGTCAAAGGGAACCATGAGGCTTTCCGCGCGGGGACTTATGAACTTAGTCACGGATGTCCTCCTCGCCCTTTTCCTCTCCATGCTGACTTTCCGCTGGCAAATACCAGGTTCCGTCTTAATCGCCGCCGAAAAAGCCGAGATCCCCTCATCGAAAGCCACAAGTTGAGTCTTCACATTTCCAATCATCAAAAACCGACTGAAAGAGCCGCAATTTTCGTGTTCGCTTCCTCCTCCTAAAAGCTATTGGCACTATATGTGTTGTCAATGCATCTTGCATATGAGATCTCAGACGTTGGCAAGGGATTCGTCCTTTTCCCCACGAGCCCACAACATCGCGGGCATCAGCCTGTCAGAGCTGCAGCAAGCTGTTGTGCGACTATGTCCGGCCTCCCAATCTGGGATAGGTAAGCAATGTTCATGCAACTGTATGTCGCACCGTGGCTTTATGAGCAAATGTTCAGGATGTTCTGCATCGCCATCGTCCGTAAAGAACACTGTGGACGGCAGTGGGTGGCCGACCGGCGGCCGTCAATCCTCACGTCCTTATAGGGTGAGACATTGTCAGCTGGTGTAGGCTAGGTAGGCTAAGTAGGCCGCTGTATTCCGGGCCGACGCAATACAACCTTCTTAATGTCGAAGGTTTGAGTGTTATCTTGACGACTCTCTCGATTGGGGTTGTAAGGTCGTGGGCTTTTGCCGTGTTGTACGGCGGGCGGCCATCTTCAGCTTGACTAGGGACGGATCTTTGTCATGTTTTTTTTTCGGGCCTGAAAGGGATAAGCGATAGCCCACCTCGGACACCTTGTGCTTGTGGTAACATCGCGCGCTTTGCTGGTCCCCGTTGGAACCTAGGCATATTTTGAATGAGGTTCTGTTATCTCTGAGCACTCCTTCTTCCTTCCTTGGGCTTCGTTGATGCCTCAACTGGGTGGCGATGCCTTGGTGTTCCGGCACGTTCTGACAATGCTCCCTTTATCTCATCATTAGCACCTGCGATTCTGTTTTGAGACCTGGGGTCGAGCATACTCAACTGTAAGCGGATATTGCGGCCTTGGGTACGGCTTCCATGTCGAGCGATGCTGAGAACCGAACATAAACACGGCAAATGCAAGCCGTCCCGGATCTTCACATGCACCTGCGGATGCTTGGGCACACATGCACTGTCTCATTGCCTGCTGTTGTTATTTTTAACGTCTACTTCCGCCTCCCGTAGGGCATGAGACGTGATAATGTGGGTGTCATTGATGTCTCATTGCCTGTGCACGTTGCTGCGAGCTTTTCGTCGTTATCCCGCTTTCCCGCTAACAGCTGCCTCTGCAGTGGTGGATCATCAGTAAACTACACTGGACGATCCGCTAGCTACAACTGGAAATTTACCTTTCAATGGACAACCCTTTTTGGTCAGCGCGATGCAACTTCGGCTCGGCTTCTTTGGTTGATTTCTCCAATTTTCCAAAGCCTGTATCCAACCACTCCTGGCCAAGTGTACTGTGGTAGAGAGGACTGTGTCCAGCAGACTTTATGGGTACCGAATTGAAGCCGCACGCCCTTAACAACCTGGAACCGAAGTTGCCTCGGTCGCTAACACCCCGGGAGATTCAGCTGTATGGCAATTACCCAATCACGGACCACCGAGCAAAAGCGCCGTTGTCTTGGCCTCCTCTTCTTATTTTCCTGCACCTTCTTTCTCTTCTATCCTTCTCAAAACTCCCACATCCTGTGTAGGTATACATTCAACCACAACTCCCAAGATGGCACGCATCAAAAGAACTCTGCGCCTTTCACCGCGAGAAGTGCTGCGGCGGACACCCTGGGCAACTCCGCATATTTGGGATGCAGCCGACCTGCCTGCCCAGTTGGCGCCCGAGTCTGACCGGTCCCCTGGGCCTGTCTACAATCTTGAACAAGTTCGCACAACACCATGGGGACTCCAAGGAAGATATCTCTGTGAAAATCCTGCCTGACAGCAGGAGTTGGGTCCCAATGAGTACATGATAACCAGTTACAGGGACCACGACGATATCTGGCTACCCTCGTTTTTTGCCGAGTTAATGGAAGACCACAACCAGATTTCCGGTCTCCAGATGGAGGGTGTCTTTCGCGGTCGTTGGGTACGAGATCGCAAACTCCGGAAGCCCGCTTGGGGTTTCCCTGAGAGGCCTTGGCAAAGTTGGAATTGGCGCATGCCCCTACGCAGCCAGGGCTCGCCGCCTGAACCGCTGTCGCTTCCTCAGGACTATGTGATGCAGGCATACCCCCTCGGCCATGAAGATAGCATATGCGCAGCGGATCTGGACATGATTGATGTACCGAACGCCACCTTCAATCCGTGCCCGGGCGGCAGAGGCATGCTCGACAAGCTGCCCGTCGAAGTGCTTGAGATGATCATCGAGTATCTTGTACCGACCGGTTGTACATACAACTTCTTCATGGCCGAGATGAGAGATGTCCACTCAGAGTTTCGATCAATCCGCTACGTCGTTCATCAGATGGTGCCTATCTGGACGCCAAAGGAACTCGATAAACTTGATGAACGACTCGACAAAGAGGAGGTTGATGCATGTGAGGATACGGACGAGATGGACTTCCCAGATGGGGAAGGTGACGAAGAAAAAGAGATTGCAAAAAGGAGCAAGACAGCGATCCAGGGAGGTTCTGCCCACATGGCCCTCGCATGCATCAACAAGACCTTCCAAGATCTCATCTACGCTAGGTTCTACGGCGGCAACACCTTCATCTTCCACCTGTCTAGCTATCCCTTCACGCCGATCAACATCGAAGCAAGGGACCTCGACACACGTTGGACATCCTGGACCCGCGTCCTGACCCGCAACGTACGACCCCGCGTTGTCACCCGCAACACGGCACGGCCTCCAGGTCCTCTCGGTCCTATCACCGCTCGGGCGGCAAGATACATCACAGATATAAAATTCAGCATCGTTACTCCATATGAGGACACCACTGATGAGGAGGCAATGGGTCACCTTGCCCAGGCAGTGGACTCCGCCGTTAGTCTTCTTCTTCTGACGCCGACGGACGCGAGTCCGGAAGAACAAGAGAAGCGACGGCAACCAAGTGTATCGCTGCATCTACAATTCTCGAGCCCACACGCTTCAATGGATGACAACATCGTCACGTTGCAAGCGGGATTTAACCGTGTTACGGAAAAGATTTACGTTGGACCTGGTACGTGGAGCGGAATTCAGGGTAGGTTGGACCAAACGCCGGCGGAGAACAAGCTGGATCTGATGATGCAGCCGCTATGGAAGCTGAGGGGCTTAATCAAGGACATGTGCGTCCATGGCTATGAAATTCCGATGGATTTCCTGGACGAAGTTGGGCTGGTTTGCGTGGACAAGGAGGTGCCGCCATCAACGATTTGTTACACCTACCACAACCAAACTACCTGCGAGTGTATCAAAAATGGGGCACGTGAATGTCCCCGGAAGCGCCTTCTGAGCGGCGTGCCCACGCCGCGATGGCAACTTGAGGGCTTGGGGTGGACTTTCTTCAGGGGTGCGGAGAGGTTGAAGGAGAGAAACACTAGAGATGACACCACTACTTCTCATTCAGCCGCTACCAAAGCTACTGGCACAAAGCCTCCCATATACATCCCTTCCGCATATGACAAAGGGCCGTGGTCACCCTGAAGCGGTGGTTTCCTGGCTTCCCACTTTCCCATATCGTCCGCTTCGGTACAAAGTTTTCGGTCAAACGACTGCGTGCGAGATTTCACGATTTTTCTCCCTATTCTTGATTTGTAATTTTAGCTTATAATTGCGCCTTGTCTAAAACCCATGGGCTTCGCCTAAGGTTTTATGGGGTGCGGGTAGGTTTACTCATGTAATACCGAATGACAAATTCTATGTCAACCTTGGAAACTAGGGTTGAATGCCGAAAGTATTGGTCGTACTCGTGTAGAGGTCTGAAACCTTTCCGAAACGTGATTTGGGCCGGAGTGAGTCCTCCGTCGTGATCAAAATGACTGTCATGATCGGAGTGACCGCGATGAGAATTTTCTTCCATGTCGACCTCGGAATCATCCAAATCCAGTCTCCAAGCCTACCCCATGGCTTTCCATAGCACTTAATCTAAATTCCCACTTCAACGAGGTCCGTAATACTCCCAGAGCACCTTTTCTCCTTTTGCGAATCCACATTGTGGGTGAATTGTGGTTCCGGTGGGAAGCCCTGCTGGAGCCGATGGCACAAAAGTCCATCCCCCCTTTTTCGCTTCCACGAGTGGATATAGCGTGAAGCGAACCGCCCGAGATTTCAAAGTCGCAGATACAAATGCGAGAGCAATCCGTGGGAACTTCCAAATACATTATCCCACCATCCATGCAAAGCCGTCGGATACGGAGTGCTGACGAGTCAAGCCTGAACGAAGCACGGTACGACCCTGACTTGACATTAAGAACGTTTATATCTGTCACGAAGAATTGTACCTTGGTTGCTTCCAGACCGGCTTTGGCATTAAGATTCAACCTTGAGGTTACTCTGGTCAAGAGGAATGCAAGGATTTTCCTCCAGCCGTAATAGGCGGCTTCGTAGATTGCGGTTCTTCCGAAAATATCTTGTGCATTGACATCGGCTCCTCTCTCCACCAACAGCTTGACTACGTTTAAGTGGCAACTACAGGCTGCAGAAATAATCGCTGTAGTCCCAAGCACATCCCTATCCGGGATGTTGGATTTGTGTGCTAAGAGAAGCCGTACGATGTCATCACAGCCAATGCGTGATGCTATGAGAAGTGCCGTTTCTCCACGCGCGTTCCGTGTTGTGACATCTGCACCTGCGTCAATGAGAACCTTGACCATTGCAAGATCTTTAGACATGATGGCACAATGAAGTGGTGTCAGTCCAGTGACAATGGAGAGAGACACCGATGACGAGACTAACAACCCTTCAAAAGGCAATGTGGTTCTGAGGATACCGCTGGTGGCATTCACGTCTGCCCCTTGTTCAACTAAGAACTTGACGATGTTCGTATCCCGGCTCCAAGCTGCGCAATGCAGCGGAGTTTCGTCGACCACGCGCACTGGTAAAGGGCCAGCGTGGTAGAAGTCGCGGTTTCCGCGGGTGACCGCATCCCTGGAAATACATTCCCCAGACAACCCAATGATCTTAAGATCAAAGTCCTCGGCCCATTCGTTATCACACCATCTTTCTATCTCGTTGCGCAAGTGGATAAATGAGCAATGTCTTCCCCGAATATTAACATTAGTTCCCAACCGTAGTACTTTCTTTACCACGTTGTGTTTTGCCCTCTCCGAGGCAATGTGTAGAATATTGCCAACGAGGCCTCCTTGGACATTGACATCGGCGCGTTGACGGAGTAGTATATTCACATCGCCATAGTACTCACAAGCCATTGCCGCTTGCAGAGCACTTCCCCATATAGTCCTCCCGTTAGGTTTGGGTCAGCATGGGATTTGAGTAACAGAAAAACAATTTGGTGAGACTTTTCCCAGCTAGCAATGGCTGATTGAAGTGATGTACCATACTTGCCACCTTGGGCGCTGACGTCGGCCCCAAGCGACAACAGTTTGGTAACCATCCCTTCGTCTTGAACAACTACTGCCGCCTGGAGCGCATTTCCATAGACTCCCCCCTGAACGTTGACATTTGCGCCTTTTTCAAGCAGGAAATCGGCAACCATCCTGTGTTTCTGAGCAATAGCAGCTTGTAAGGCAGTCCCGTATGTTCCTCCTTGCAGGTCAATTTGGGCACCCTTATCCATGAGTGCCCTAGTAATCTCATACAGTCCTCGAGTTGAAGCTGCTTGAAGGGGTGTGTCGAAGAATCCACCTTGCAGATTAAGACTAGGATCTTTGGCACTACTGAGAAGGGCTTCAAAAAGCGTTTTCAAGTTGAGGGATCCATGAAGCACGAGAGAGTAGGCGAGACTTGTTTTTGATTCCGATTCAACAACCAAGGGCCATAGGTTATTGCCCATCTTACGTTTCGCATAGTAGGAGAGCACGTGTAAGGTGTTAAGACGGGAAGCCATGTCGCTCAATGCACTGTCCTCGAGGCAAAACTGTTCAAAAAGTTGGTTCCGGACATAAAAGAAATTTTGCGCAGCAGTCCTTGAGCCTGTCATGGGAGGCTCCAACTGGATTCCTGATAGTGCTGGAGAAAGCTTTCCAAGTCTACCATTCCGCAAGAGAAAATCGCTAACGGACTGGTGAATGAACCGTGCATGTGGACGATGGTTGGCGCCACATGTGAAGTTGTTTACACCTATCTCAACAAGCCCTCTTTACCAGTCCCTGATCCTCTTATGGATGTCGTCGCTTATCCCGTTGTGAATCAAGTTGCTCAATGACTCTGGTTTCACTCCGGATATGACGGCAAAATAGAGCTCCCGAGCGCTTGGCGGGCCGTCCTTACAAAACAAAACCCACTGCAGAGTGAGCACCGTTGCGTCAATATATTGGTTGCCTTTGATAAGAATCCGCTCGAATAGCTCCTCAAGGCCTGTCGGAGTCGTCTTGAGCTCTTCGCGCATTCGCTGCACGTCGCCGCAATCATATGTCTCGTTCAACAGCCTGACCACAAGCACGACCCACATGAAGATACCCAACGACCGTGCGATGACGCTATGGCTTATTCCGTAGTCATCCGTATTGAGCTTGTCGTTGATATACGCCGTAATGTCCTCATTGTGTCCTGGCAAGTTATCGAGGATCAAGTCGATTCGGCGCTGCATGCTGATTTCCGGGTAATGGCGGCTGGAGAGACCAATCCTAAGCCTGAGCTTCAGCGACGCACTTCCATGTCGAGCCTTATGGCTAAGATTTTCCAGAAATTCGACCATTTTTTGGACTTCCCTCTCGTCGCACTCGTCCAGAGCGTCAACAAGAATCAATATGGGCTTGGATGGCTTGCATGTGGGAAGATGCTGGAGTAGGAAGTCTTTCAGATCATTTTGTGTCCACTTGAAGCTCCCTCCCCCATTCAATCTACGCTTTGCGTCGTAGATCTCGCGAAAGGGCGCCCAGAGTGATTTGCTGCCGTCCAACTTGAGCAAATGATAGACCAAGGATTGAAGCATGCCCAAAAGCGACTTCTCATGCGCGCTTCCGCGGGCGTTGAAAAAATGCTCCGCTGTCAAGTATCTCCCGCTTTTTTTGAGATGAAGAAACATATGCTTCATGATTGTTGATTTGCCGGCGCCTGGTTTTCCTTTGATCCAAAACACTCCGTTGGATTCCTCAAGACCCCGCTGAGATTTCCATCGGGTATACTCCTCGGTATTGAACAGCCAGTCACCAGTTGTAGAGTAAGCAAGCTCTATGCTCGTTTGGCGGCTATCGAGGCCGTCGAACATCAAAGATAACAAGCAGGCCTCTCGGACTAACACGATGTTATATTCTTAGCATACATTCGTAAGTGGATCATTCTCGGGCGCCAAACTAACTGTCTTGTGTAGGACCATATTTAAACCGCCTGGATACCACTGCCATTGAGTTTGCCTTAAACTTCTGCAAGTAACGCAGGGCTGTCGTATTTTGTGCCGAACTTAGCTTTGTCCGAGTGATCGGCGTCGACTGGAACCTTTGGCTCCATTATGTCGGGCAACTGTAGCAGAGCAGAGTCCCTTTTGACAGACAACATGAAATCGCCAGTCCTTTTGTCGCTTTGGGACGTTTCGTCCTAGAATGTGAAAGAGATTTGTTAGCCATGCAGGCAATCGTAAATGGATAGGAGTATGCATAGACTATGTGCCGCTTGTGATGCTTAGTACACGACCCCTCCCAACCGGATATGCCAAAGGCTGTTTACTTACCCATTTTAATACCCGCGTTTGTTGAGTCTCGAAGAAGCTGACAATTTTGTATTCGTATGTGTGGTAGACGTTCTTGAAATCCGTAAGCTGACCTTCCAGGGCCGGGGAGTTGCATCTCAATTGCTCGACAAGGTCCAATCGCGGGTGATTCGGGTCAAGCTTGTTGAGAATGCTCGCAATGTCTTCAACCAAGAGAGCTTTGTGAGGAGTAGGCAGAAAGAAGATACCGTAGGTGGTCTTGACTAGTGCGGTCATATCTTCATCACTTTGGAGTTCGGCTTTGATAAGAGCCTTGGTGTGTTGGATACTTCGTCAGTACACACTCCCTTGATGCAACGACGGTGTGTCGGTCTTACATGTGCGAGAATGAGGCTACCAAAGCTGTGAGCGACGAAGAAAATTGGCCTTTGTCGCAGCTAGATTTACAAAGATCAGCCAGTGACGATGAAGGAGTTGAGCCTGGAATCGGAACCCTTATTTCAGTCGTTTGTCTGATGCTCTTAATGGACTCTCGGAAACCTCGACAGGTGATGCAGCGTGTGCGACAGTGCGTGTAGTGGCTGGCAGGAAGGAGACGATGCAACTGGCCATTTCAATCCCGTTGAAAGATGTTATTGGATGGAAAAGCGTGAAAAAGGAAATGGGGAAAGGCCATGTCTGTCGGATGCCGGACTGCGTCGGGATTCGGACCGAGCACATTATGAACGGGAATCAATGGATTGAAAACAAAATTTTCTCGGATGTGGGAAAACGGTTGATCGATGGCCTGGTTGAAAAGGGAAGAATGAGTGTCAGGCCAGTACCTCCTAGAGACTCGACGATGGAAAATCAAGTCGGGTTGCTCTTTCCACATCGACGTTGGGAGGACGCAATGGAGCTTGTGGTTATCTTATCTCTTGCGCCTGTGCCGCCACACGGACGGAAAGGAAGGTGTACTTCCGGATATGTGCCTACTGCGGGTACATTGGCAATAGAGGTACCTACCTCAAAGTACCTAGTACCCTTCCCGCCCCAAGACAAACGGGCCAATATCCATCGGGAGAAGTTGCCTTCCTCTACCTCCATCGCCCTCCATTGCACCATCTTCCTCTCTTCCCGTCGCCCTCGCCATCAACAACCTCAACACATTCGTTCACCACCAAAACATTCATCTCCGCGTCCAAAGCACCAGCGGAAAGCACGAACCACAGCTGCGAAGACGAAAGGAGATCGAACACTTCTTGCCTTTGCAGCGGCCCAACAACGAGAAAGAAGGTGCGATCGCCGGGATAGCAAAACACCAATTCCGGTTCTCCGAACAAGCCACGTCGAGGAAACTACACCCTGTAAACATGCAAAGTCCCATTTCCCAAATAATTCTGGCCATTACGATACCCCGTCCCAAACATCACATACCGTCCTTGCACCGCAATCCCTCATTGAATTGGTATCCAGCGCCAACTCCTTCACGACTCTTCCTGTTCGTTTCTCCACAAACACCAACGCGCCCTGACTATAAAAATACGCTCCTTGCTCATCCATCACACCAGTTCTGGGGAAGAGTACCAGACCATCATCATCCTCTCTACCCTTCCCCTTCCCCTCTCCTTTTCCGCTTCCATTTCTCCCTCGTCCTCCCCGCTCCTGCCGCCCACATCCCAAAACAGTAGGCGCCGTCAATGCAATCGAATTTGTCCCGCTCTCATCCACCCTCTTCTCCCACAACTTCTTCCCATCCTTCACCCCAACCGCGCCATAAAACGCCGTCGACTCGTTAAACCCAAACCCGCCCAATCCATACGGCAAGTTATAGTAAACAGCTTCATCATCCACCGCCAAGCCCCAGGATATCCCCCCGCCCTGTAAATCAGGACTGGTATTAACCTGCCACACCATCTCTCCCTTTTCCGCTGACAGCGCATACAGATTGGCATTTTTCTGTCCCACAACCACTATATCCTCTTTCAGTCCTGACGTTTTCGCAGAAACAAACCCCGGCGCCATACCGAAATCACCATCTGTCCCCGGCGGATCCTGCGCGCAGTTCTCTTTGTCGATGGGAGTAGCGACACAAGCCCCGTTCCAGGCGTCCATCTTTGTTATCCTCCTCACCCAGTTCTCTTTTCCCGAAGCAATGTTCACAGCGATAATAGCCTCCTGGTTGACGCCCCTAGGCATACACTCGCTCGTCTCATTAGCGCAGTGCGCGAACTCTTGCGGAAAAGAGTAGACGTTTCCCGTGCCGAAAAAGACCTGGTTGCGCTTCTCGTCGATGGAAGGCTGGGATCCCCATACGCCAGCGCCGGACCAGGCCGTGCCGGAGGGGAGGGTGGGCAGGTCCCATTTCAGCCGGAACTTGCGCGTTTGGCGGGAGAAGGTGAGGGCGACAAAGTTGCCGATGAAGGTGCAGCATTTGTAGCCTGGGAAGCGCAGGGGCGCGGGTTCCTCGTAGGAGCCGGTGCCGACGAAGAGGATGCCGTTGTGGAAGGTTGGGGATTGGGTGATGACGGCTAAGGGGTGCGGGTTGACTTGGTAGGTGTCTAAGACGGCGCCGGTGCGCTTGTCCATAGCGACCACCAGAGCGAAGCGTTGCGTGCCGAAGTGGATGATGTTCCCGTCGATCTGGGGAGAGGTGCGGGAGACGGGGTAGGCGAGGACTTGGTAGCTGTTCGGAGGGGCGTAGTCGACGATGAGCTGGGTAACGTTGAAGGACCATTTCACTTGGCAGGTGGTGTAGTCGAGGGCGACCATTTCGCCGTCCCAGGTCGGGTAGTAGACGATGTTGCCCTCGATGACGGGGGTGGCGCTGACGCCGAAGGGGTAAGTCTTGCTGCATTTCAATGTGAGGGTGTCGATGTTGGAGATCGTAAGGGCTGACTCTGGTTGCCATCGGTTGTTGAGACAGTTTCCGCCCCAGCCGGTCCATGCCGAGGGCGAGGAAGAAGAAGCGCCAGCGTCAGCCTCTGCGAGTGTTCCTAGAACCACAAGCAGGCCGAGGGTAAATAGGTCAGAGATGGACAGCATCGTTGCCGTGACTCTCATAAGCTTAACTCTTGTGGCATACTAGCATAACATGCGCAGAGAAGATGGGCCAGGCGAGAAGGGAATACTTCGGGGTCAAGCCCAGATATGTATGCCTCTGGTTCCTGACGACTCTGCCTCTGGTTCCTGACGACTCTGCCACTGATTCCTGACGACTCTGCCACTGGCTCCTGACGACTCTGCCACATGGGGAGACACTCTAATCAAACATCTGGTAGCTGATACCGCTTAACTGCCTGGGTGTGTGGCAGCGCAGGTACGCCAGTCAGCGAAACTTCGATGTGAGAGAGGGAGTGTTCCTATTCGACAGCGCGGAGAGTTGTCCATTTTCGGGTAACACGACAATTAATGATCCTTCCCGCTACCACGGTACCGTGCCTTGCTCTTCAGTTTACCGACGGCGGGGGTGATCATCTCCCGAATCTTCCTCACATGTAACACCCCGGTTCAAGAAATGGCGGCCGCCGGAAGAGTGGTAAATGACTCTCTCAACTAGCGTCCTGTCGTTAGTAACGGGTTCCTTAGGCCGTGTTTGTTCCGGCAGTAGTGCAGTAAGAGAAACTCTTCCATCCCCAATGCTACTGCCAGACCAAACATGGCTTAATAATGACGGGGGTAGTCAACGTAGCAAGAAGCAAAGAAGAAGACATACAACACTTATGTGGTCGTACTATACCCAAACTCAATGAAGCCTAATCCATTCCCGAGTCCGGCCACGCTGTTCCACTGCCTGATTCCATCGGGTCCGGAGAACATATCCAACAGCAACCCGGGAGGCTAGATGGGAATAGCCGGGATGTCGGAATAACCACATGACGAGTACCATGTCGGGATTAGCATCCACCACGGCCAGGAACTCCGGGGAGAAGTTGCCTCGCCGACTGTATCTGTTCAAATACAAAACATGCTGAACATTTTGAAGTGAGAAGTCCAGACAGCCAAATGAAAGCAGCTCTACGCTTGTGGCAATGCCCATGTTGGAGGCTGATGTCGAGAACTCTTCGGGGAAGAATGCCTCCAGCGTCCCCGAGTCAACCCTCATTTCGCCAATAAGCTCAGCATTGTCCATATTGTCTGCTGCTTCAGGCGAAGAGAAAATAGAACAGAAGTGAACATGACTAGACGTTTGCATAGCATTTTCGTGTTCTCGGAACCGCACCGGAAATGTGCAAATCGTACCGCCGAATGCCAGCACTGTCTTCTCGGCTAAGGACAGATTCATCATCCAACGATCTCCAGGATTGACGATACGCCGACGCAAGACCGATGTGGGGTCATCTCCAAAATAGTGATGGTCGGGCTCCTTTGCTGGAGCTCGGAACGCAATTTGCGCAGCCCTGGCCATTCTTGCGTCTACTTGGAGGTAGGGGATATAGCTTGGTGATGTTCGTACAGCATAGGAAAATTGTCCAGATCGACAGCCCTTGAACTCGTCAACAAACCAGTCCAAGGTGAGCTGTATGTCGAGGCCGTCAAGCCGCCCAAGAGGATAATAAATAGGACCTGTCCAGGAAGCCCAAGACCAAGACGGAACACCTTCACAACGTCGCCTCCTTAGTAGACCGTTTGGTTGCCACATCAGAGCTGCTCCAAGATAAAACAGCGGAAGTCCAGCGACCGCCATCCCAAGGCCATCTACCATGTACATCGTGTACATGCCCAGTGAGGCCTTGAGGATGTCTTTGTCATGTGTGAAGTTCCTTGTCGAGAGCTTCTCAACCATGGAGATGTAAATTGCTGAAGCTTGGGTATCCCGTCCAAGTCCAAGCCCCATGTCCAAACCCAACCCTTTCGGGTCTTCATCCCGTAGGTAGTGTTGATATTGCTCAGGAGGGATGCTTTCATCCAAAAGCAAGTCTTCGTTCCAGTTGCCAAGGGCGCAGCTGAAGTACGTCCTCTCCGGTGTAAAGAAGATGAACCGGTCAGAACACGTTACTTCTTGAAGTGTCCATCCCCGTGTTGCCCATGTCGATGATGCTACAACTTCTTTGAACTCGGGTCTGTCAAGGCAGAAGCGCAGGCTTCCAACAGTATGGTACTTGCTCAATAGCCGATCCGGGTCTATGTGTAGGATAGAGTGTTGTGCGCTGTCTCCGACGGCTGCGACGATGGTTAGGCTAGCCTGAGCATAGATAACGTGCATCGATCCTATCTGAGTAATTGTATCCTCAGTCGAGTCTTGTTCGATGCAGAGGCTGTCAATCCAGATGTACTTATAGCCTAAGAACTTGGTAACCTCTATGGCTTCCAGGATGGTCTGTGGAAGTGTTATGGCGGGATTTTGGAATGCGTCTTTCTGGCATAGTGTGCTGAGGTTTGTGCTTTGCAGGGTGAAGAACGGGTCTCTTCCCCATACATAACTGAGAGCGACGTATTCGACTTGTCCAAGGTTCACACGGCCGTTTGTGCCAGGTTTAGTAGGTACCAACTTCATGTCAACCACATCGATCAACCTGCTGGGCGCGGTTTGCAATGTTTCGGGGTTTGGTGCCTGTTGATGTTTGCACTTGTCATGATTCTTGCGGCAGTATTCGAGACAGCGCTTTATCAAGTCCATGTCCCGTGTTTCCCGGTCAAGTGGCTGCGGTATCATCAATGTAGCCTCTGGGTTTGGGGTGTCGGCCATGAGTATTTGGTAGTCATCGGGGTGCAGGAATAATTGAAATTCGTTGTCGTCCACATCTTCAGAGTCACTCAAGGGGAGCCAGAGGGATAAAGCGCCGTAATCGCAAACAGCGTCGACAGAGACCTGGAGGATCAGGGCCTCAGGGTCGAAGATCTCGAAGTCGTCCAATATCGATGAGATTGAGTTCGCCGTTGAACTTGTTGGGGAGACAGTGGTGCTTCCCAATGACCTTAAAGCCTCCCTGATTGCGTCCAAGGAGATAAGCGTGTCCTCAACCGATGACCTTGGCCTCATGGCGTTGTAGAGATGTCTCTCTTTGGCCTTCAGGATTACACGCAGGATGAGTGAGCAGAAGTCGCACTCATGGTAGTTGGAAAAGACATGCTCGATAGTTACAAGTCTTATGTTGTCGGCCGAGTCGCGGGTTCCGGGATGAAAGTCTGACTTGTCGGTTGAGGCAAGTATCTCCTGTAGGCGCCGGAATATCGGGTGGCACACTTGGCATAAAGTATTTGGAAGCGACGCAAATATCTGGTTATCTAATGCCGCGAGGGTGCGCTTGAAGTCTTCGATGCTGAGTTGAGCCATGGACATGGTGTTTGCTCGTAGGATTTAGGGGTTGAAGTTGACTTCGAAGCTTGACAACTCGAGATAGTCACTGGAGAATTTTCCATGTCAGCTTTCTGATCACTTCAAGAGGGTCTACGATATATGTGAGTCGGGCGGCAACCTGATTGCCAGCGGGTGCTGACCAACTGATGGCAGTGTAACCTCTAGCGCTGTGACTGCGCCGCATTCCGCTACTCCAGCTCCCCGGACGGGATCGCGAAGGCTCCCTAGAATATCCAGTGCAGCTGGTGATCGTTCTGGTCGTTAGCCCTCGTCATGTTCGCTCCTTTGCGAATCGGTAATTTGGGTTCTGCCATGATCGGATCTGGCCCTCTTGCGATGAAGAGGAAAGGCAGCAAATCGTGAGTCCATGAGCGCTGAACAGGGCGAATGCGGGGTAGTGAGGGATAGACAACGCCAAACACAGAAGAGGACAACGGGGGATTTGGGAAAGTGACCAAAAGATTCATTGCTAAGACAAGGAAGACAGCAGAATTTAGCGAGGATTGGGACGGATATGAAAAGAGGAAAGAGAGGGAAGGAAAATCGTCACAGGCCAAAGTCGCAGTATGTTTCCACCAGGCGGCAAGGCGCCATCGGTACGTCCATGATGTTGCACTCAAGCTTCAAAGAAAATTCTGCCGCCGTCCCTTCCCACTTTCGTGTCAATCCCTCCATATTCCATGCATTCACGGCAGTGTACCAACACTCAACCCTCCAACCGCCGCCTCAGGCAAATCCCCACCAATACCCGGCGGCGTCTCGAAACTCTCACCCATGCCGCCCTTCACACCCGTGATCTGCTTCAACGACGGCCTGCCCTCTTTGACCTCTCTCTCCTCGATCTCAAATATCCGATAATCGCCATTGTTAAACCACCAACCGGTGACTCCCGACCTCAAAAAGCCCGAATGGCTGACTACAATCACAGCCCTGCCATCCTCCATCTCAGGCCACACCTTGGCCTCGATCTCCTTTAGCACATCCTCTCCTCTTTGCAGAATCGCATCTTTGGTGTACCAGTACTTCTTGGCCTTCTCTGACTTGCGGCTCTTGTCGGGCCAGACTTGGTCGACTCGTGAAAAGTCGACCTCGGGAAACTCTTTGGACAGCTCCTCGATGGATGAACCCGTGTCGCAGGGCTTATCGCTGTTCTCCTGCCAGCCGGCGTTGGCAATAATGGGGATGTTGTTTTCCTTGGCGTAGTTGCCGAAGGAAAGGAGCGCCGTTTCGATGGTGCGGCGCATGGGGGAGACGATGATGAGGCTGATTTGGTACTTATCGGGCACCTCAGTCTTGAAGAAGTGCTTGCGGAGGGAGCGGCATTGTGTCTGGCCGAGCTCGGAGAGAGGGGGGTCGTGGATGGAATAATCTCGTGGTAGGAGTTAGTATGAAATGCCATTAAGAGTTTAGGGCGAGAGGGAGACTTATTGTCGACGTTATGGAGGGCCTGAGCGTGGCGGACTAGGATAAGTGTTGGTGGCATCTTGGTGGTTGTGACTTGGTGATAGCTTCAACCACGGTTCAGGGGAAAGTAAACAAAGAGTCCAGGTGAGTGGAGTCGAGGGTGTGGGATGGCCCTTGACAACTTGGTGCTTGGAAATGACTGGATATCCAAGAAGAAAGCGGATTACATCCACTTATAAACAATATGAGTCTCAAGATAACTCGTAGTTTCCTGCCTCGTGATGATGAGATGTCAGGAGTTGTCTCGCTGCGCCACCCAGCACGTAACCGTTTGGCGATCACCTCACTGTTGCAGCCCGTTGGTAAGGCGTGACCCACTGCCAAACAGGGCGAGTCCGCTGAGACAGCCGCCCCACGAGGAGCCAACCGGGGGAGTGGAGCCAACCGTGAGTTTCGCTCGATTGAGCCAATCAAAAAAGCCAAAGAACACTGACCGCGTTGCCGGCCGCGACACAGCAACCGCATCTCCAACTGCATCATCATCGGCGTGTTGGTTGTTCGACTGTTCAACACAAACACCAAACCATTGGCCATCAAGATGAATGTCGACGAGCTGTTTAAAGTACGTAATATCCTTTGGACTCCTCATCCTCGGCAAACCTAACATCGATGCTTGCAGAACGCCGGAGTTCCCAGCAAACGCAAGGCGGAGCCCCTTCGCGATCCAAACGAAGTCTACAAGTCCGCCAAACTTTCCTCCAACGGCAGCCGGCACGCGCAGGTAGAAGAAGAAGAAGACGACACAGAAGCTGGCCCAGCACCGCCTCCCGAAGACGGAGAAGATGAAGGCGACTACGGCCCCTCAGTACCACCAGTCGAAGATCACGGCGACGATGAAGAAGGCCGCTTCTTTGGCGGTGGCATAACCGCCCAAGAAAAAGAAATTCTCGATTTCATGGACACCAACACCACCAACCCAGCCGATGACCTCTTCACAACAGACAAGATTGACCTCTCGTGGCTCAAGAAAACCGCCCTGAACTTCGAGAAGCGCATCACCCGCAACGCCGAGCTGCGCGCCCGTCACGAAGACGATCCCTCGAAATTCATCGACTCGGAAGCCGATCTCGACGCTTCCATCAAGGCTCTCTCCATCCTCTCCGAGCACCCGGACCTCTACGCCGACTTTGCCCGCCTCGGCTGCGTCTCCAGCCTCGTCTCTCTCCTCGCTCACGAAAACACCGACATCGCCATTGACGCCGTCGAGATCATCAACGAGCTAACGGACGAAGACGTCGCCGCCTCCGACGAGCAATTCTCCGCTCTAACCGATTCTCTCCTCGAAGCCGACCTCCTCGGTCTCCTCGTCAGCAATTTCTCCCGCCTAGACGAACAACACGAAGCCGACCGCACAGGCGTCTACCACGCCCTGTCGATAATTGAAAACCTCTGCTCGCGCCGCGAAACAGCAGACCAAATCGGCAAACACACCGAGCTCCTCGAATGGCTTCTCTCCCGCGCCAAGAAATCCGAAGCCCCAACCGTATCACAAAATAAGCAATACGCGGCCGAGATCCTCGCCATCCTCGTGCAGTCCTCCCCCGCCAATCGCCGCCGCTTAGCTTCCGACGAGCTCAACGCCGTCGACACCCTCCTCACACTCATTGCCCCCTACCGCCGCCGCGACCCCGAGCGCGGCTCCTTCGAGGAAGAATACATGGAGAACTTGTTCGAGTGCTTAACATGCCTTGTAGACGAACAGCTCGGCAAAACCAAGTTCGTCGAAGCCGAAGGCGTGGAACTGTGCTTACTCATCCTCTCCTCTTCCGACGTCAAAGGCAAACTCTCCAAGCCAGCATGTCTACGACTCCTCGACCACGCGGCCTCTTTCTCGCCAGAAGTCTGTCTCAAGATCGTCGAAGCCGGCGGTCTCAAGACGTTATTCACACTATTCATGTCAGGCGACAAGTCCGACAAAGACAAGAAGAAGTCTAAGGTGCAAATATCAAAACAAGACACCGAACATCTTCTCGGTATCTTCGCTTCCATGTTGCGGCACTTACCCGCTGCTTCCCCTACTACCGCTGGTGCCGCAGCAGAAGACGAGACGACAGGGGCGGAACGTATCCGCTTGCTAGCAAAGTTCGTAGAAAAGGACTACGCCAAGACATCAAAACTGATCCGTCTCCGCCGGGACTACGCCGCTCGCGTGAGCCAAGTAGACGAAGCGCTCAAAGCCGAGGCTGCCTCATCAAACCCAGAAGATTTTGACGAAGACGACGCCTTTTCTCGGAGGTTAGACGTTGGATTGTTCTGTCTGCAGACGATCGACGTGATATTGGCATGGTTGATCGCTGAAGATACTGGATGCCGGGCAAAGATTAGGGAGTTGTTGAAGGATCGGGATGAGGACTTTGGGGTGCTGGCGAAGACGTTGAAGGAGCAGAGGGATGGTGTGGATGGGGAGACAGAGGAGGGAAGGGATACGGGGGAGATGTTGAAGGCTTTGTTGGAGTTTTTGGAGTAGTAAGTATCGTCTCCGACGGAGAAGGGAGACTGGATGCAAGAAGGCTGCTGTGACTGCTTTGAGCGTGGAGAAAAGATAATGATTGAGTAGCCAAATAAGATACCATTGAGCCAAGGCTAGGCTCCGTTTCTACCAAATTTACCTTGTTTGTTCTCTTTCTAGGCTCGTAGACCTTTCTTCCTGTGCTCGCTTTGGTTACACTGAGAACCACAACGATCCTTATTGTCACAAACAGACAACACAAACAGGTCTTCCTTAGCCGGAACCTTGTAATATAGAACAGGCCACAACAATAACCACAAAGGATAGGTTCGGTAGGAGTCAATAGTCATAACAAGAAACAAACTTAACGAGCTCCGTCCAGCAACATGCATTCATGACAAAAACGCCCATCCGGCCGCCAAAGCCGCGGCCCTTTCGACCTTCACTCCAACCCCGACTCCCTCAGTCAACCGGTATCGACTTAATGAGCAGCCATAGCCTCGGGAACAGGAGTGAACACAGCATGCAGCAAATCCTTAATCACCTGCTCGCGGCTCTTGTTGCCGGCCTCCTTGATCTCGCGAATGCGCGTCTCAGCTTCGGCGTCGGCTTCGTCTTGGGCGGCCTTGTTTCCTTTTGTGTGCTATTTGTTGCTTACTGTCAGTATTTCCACGTCCTTTATCCACGTTCCCGGGAGGAGAAGTTGCATCGAGAAATACTAGTTGTATCGTGGATGGAGTTGAAGAGGTGGTGAACGGGACAGGAAGGGGGTCAGAAAGGGAAGAGGAGGACAGAAGACAGTACGTACCTCAGCCTCAAACTTCTTGAACTCAGCCTCCTTCTCTGCCTTGTACGCTTCTATCTCCTTCTTGGCCTCGTCGCGCGCTTCGCGGACGCGCTTTGTGCGGTCTGTTTTAGTTCGTTGTGTTAGCCTTCTGACTCCATCCTAGCTAGCCATAGTTCAACGTCATCTTAGACCCCTGAGAGACCAAGGTTGTGGTCTGTGATGTCTCCGTCCGGCAACAGGGAGGGCCTCGTGATATCGAACACAGTGTATTGAAGGGTGTATCGTCGAAAGATCGGGCAATTGGACTGGGGACTCGGTAGTTGGGATTGGTACGTACACTCTCTGGCTATAGTCCAAGTTAGTTATTATTCAAGTCCACTGTTCCGAAATATAGGAGGGAAAGACGTACCCTTCTGCACAATCTTGGAAGCATCCCTCTCAGCCTGTAGTGTTATCCAGTGTCAGCCATCCGTCCCGTCGCATAGCATCTTGCTCCTCTCTCGAAATCCGTAACACCGTGATAACTCCAAATCCATAGCCAACTTCGGTAATCGGGCAAGCAAGCTAGCCGCAGTCGCAAGTCTGTCGCATCTCGCATGGAGCGGGGGAGGTTCGTGGGGAAGGATTGGTGAGGGACGTACATCGAGAAGGGTCTGGATACCCGCCGAGTTCTGGGCCGACTATGTCCACCATCGCGTTAGCTGTCTTTCTTTCACCTAGCCCGTAGATTGCGCTTTGGAGCTCGATGTAAGCCGATGTCGACAGGAAACGAACCATAGTGATAGCTGTCTGTGTAGAGGAGGTCGAGGTGTCTAGGTCGAGGTCGAGGTTGGTAATCGAAGCTAGAGGTAGCGGTGCTATCGCTTCGGAATTTGTCGAGCTGGCGCAATCGTGATCGCGATTAGGGTAGGTTACCAAGAGTATCGCGTATAGTTAGGTGTAGAAAATGATTTGTATCGTGTCGGTCGTTAGCTCGTGAGGGTCTAGTGTCGTCGACGTGTGTCAATGTCGAGGATGTGATGCGATGCGATTGAGGTGATGGTCAAGGTCAAGTGGGTTAGCGGTTGGCGTCGTACCTCCCCCGCCTAGGCACAGCGCTATAGTGCGTGCCCGCCAGCCGCTGTAGCGGGACGAATTTGAGGTCCCGTCAGTTGGCAGGGGCATGCTGATGCTCTGCGGTCTGCCCGTGATGTCACCTTTGCCTGCCGCCGCCTCTTCACGCCCGCAGGCAGCTGTGACAGCTCCCCCAATCCTCCGCCAAATTCAGTCGGTGAGCAGCGGCAGAATAGTTACCCGTCCGTCTCCGTCATGCCGTTCTCGAAGGCCGTTCCCTCGTCTGATCTGATCACTGCTGTCCGTCCATCCATTGCGCCGGTGTTGTTTACTTTCTTCCGTATTCCTTTCTCTCTGTCCGTTTGTTGATGTTCATGATACCGCTATAATCGGCAACTTGAAAAAAAGAAAGCAACAAAAAGCAACAACCATGTCCCGCGCCTCCAAGCTCACCCTCCTCGGCACCTCCGCCTTTGCGCTCGGCACCGTCTTCTTTGTGCATTGGCAGCAGAAATCTGAGAAGGAGGTATGTCTTTCCTATTTATCTCCGTTCTTTCTCATGTGTCATCCCACCCAGAACCCAGAACCCAACTAACTCTCCCGGGTTATAGGCAATGCACGCCGGCGTAATCCGCGACATGGAACAACAACGAATCAAGCGCGAGCGCCAGCTCGACTTCGACATGCAGCGCGAGCTCGAGGCCGAGTACAAGAAGCTCCAGAGTGTGCGCGATGTCACAGATGAGATGGACGCCCCCGTACCGACACCCTCCTCAAAACCCAGTGTCAGTGCCGCCCTGGCGCAAGGGCTGCCGAAGGCGACTGCGGTACCTAGTATACCTGTTGGAGGGGCGATTGGGACGGGGACGGGGGAGAAATGAGTGTTCGGTACCTTGGTTGAGGGTTAAAATAGATGGGAAGGTAGAAAGAAAAGAGCAGACACAGAGAAGAGAAAAAGGAGGGAGATTTAGCACCAGCCCGGTTACAGACTACAAGCTAGGGAAGGGAGTTTGTTCGGACCCGGCGGGCCCAGAAGCGAGGACGACAAGGTACAACTGAGCTGGAGAGTTGAGATAGCGAGCAGAAACGCCGCTTTCTCCTCCAGCTAGCGAGCGACGCCTTTTCTACAGATGGAAAAGAACGCCTGTCAGGGCACAGAGAGACGAATGTCGCGGGCTCACGGCCTTGCTTTGTCTTTTTGACGTGGTGCTCAATGCGTTGGTCATGTCTACCGGGACGATCTTCGTCGGCTGGCCTCAAACCAGAAGTCTACGGACCTAAAGCTCGAGGATCAACGGGGATGGACTGTATAACACTTGTATTATTTATCACATCTCTGCTCATGAAGCAGGCCAGCATTTTGTATCATCTATCGTATTGCATATTTATCAGGCGTTGTTATTCACGAGGTACATGAAGATTTCTACGTGGCTCCTCCTATGTATGTTGGCGAAAATGTCTTGGTAGTGATATTCGTTATATGTATGTATAGTAAGTAACTTTGCGTGTGAAAATACCAAACTAAACCACTCCCCTTCCCCCTCCCTCTCGCAAATGCGCAGAAACAAACTTTCCTTTCATTCCACTTTGCGAAAACTTGCAAATTGCAATCTTCAAATCATTTGTAAAACGCCAGAACGACCATCTCTATGCAACTTTTTCTTGTCTTCTTTCTCGTCTTTCTTCTGTCCTTCTCTTGTAATCCTCAAGCACGTCAAACGAGCACCAGCATTTTATAAAAAAGAACCGTTTTCTTTTTTGTGCCAGTGCCTATAAATGCCATGCCATGTACAAGGACCATGTCAAGAGAAAGAAACCGTGATATTATAAACCGAAACCTTTCCGCACCAAGCCAAACCCCCGGGAACTCACAACCAACTACCCTTAACGAACCGTGATGCCGGACCTGCTGGTGAACATGCGCGAGGCAATGTTCATCGACATGAGCTCCTGGAAGAGAAGCTTGGCCGCGTAGGGCATGTGGACCTGGGCGATCTTGGTCTTGTTCTTGCAAGGACGGCATTCGAACGATTGCTTGGTCAGGTTCCTGCGAATAAAATGTTAGCATCATGTGTATGAACGAAAAGGCAAGATGGGATACATACGCAATAGGAGTCATGAGACCGCAGATCTCGCAGATATGCACTCTGAAAGCATCCGAGACCTCAAACAACCTCTCCTTCAAGAATGAAGCGGCACCGTGAGCAATCATACAATCACGTTCCATTTCGCCGAAACGGAGACCGCCATCTCTGGCACGACCTTCGACGGGCTGACGAGTCATGATCTGTACCGGACCACGGGCACGAGCGTGGATCTTGTCGTCCACCATATGCCTCAAACGCTGGTAGTAGGTAGGACCGAAGAACACCTGGGCGCGAAGCTTCCTACCCGTGTGGCCGTGATACATAATCTCGAAGCCACGAGACTGGTAGCCGTGCTCGCGGAGAAGGTTGGAGACGGAGTCGACTGTGACATCCGTGAAGGGGGTGGCATCACCCTCCATGCCCTTGAGGGAACCGACCTTGGAAAGAAGACACTCGATCAAATGGGCGATTGTCATACGAGAGGGAATGGCGTGAGGGTTGATGATAATGTCAGGCGTAATACCCTCAGCAGTGAATGGCATATCCTCTTGACGGTAAGTGACACCGATGGTACCCTTCTGACCGTGACGAGAGGCAAATTTGTCACCAATTTGCGGGATCTTAGTGGTACGGACCCTGACCTTGACGTAGCGCAGACCGTCCTGGTTGGTTGTGAAGGCGACGGAATCGACGATACCACTCTCCGTGCTGCGCAGTGGCGTGGACGCGTCACGCTTGACATGCTGAGCCGTGCGCTGGCCAAGCTCTTGGTTATCAGGGTTGATGGGAGATGTCTTGCCGATGATGATATCGTCACCGGTGACACGGATGCCAGGAGCAATGATACCATCATTTTCGAGCTTGTCGTATGTGCCGTGCTTGGGTCGCAGAGTGTTGCTCCTGTCTGGCTTCTCAAACTGCTCCACAATGTTGATACCGACACGCTTCTCGCAATCCGTGTAGGAACGGAAGAAAAGAGAGCGGAAGATACCACGATCGATACTGCTCTGGTTCATAATGACGGAATCTTCCTGGTTGTAACCGGAGTAACAAGCGATGGCGACGATGGCGTTCTGACCGGCAGGGAGCTCGCGGAACTTGAGGTATTCCATGGAGCGAGTGGTCGCCAACGGTTTTTGAGGGTAGTAAAGAATGTTGGCCATGGTATCCATACGGCGGGAGTAATTGGTGAGGAAGAAGCCCATGGCCTGCTTACCCATGGCAGACTGGTAAGTGTTTCTGGGCGACTGGTTGTGATCGGGGAAGGGAATGATACTGGCGCAAATACCGAGAAGCATACTGGGGTGAATCTCGCAGTGCGTGTACATGTGTGTTGTTGGGTTGAACTTCGTCTTGATACGGCTGTTGCCACGGTTGGCAGCGTCGTCCTCAAACTCGCGACCCTTGAACTTGTGTTGACGGTAGGTGTCCAGATCTTCTGGTGTCATGCAGATCATGGCCGTCTCTTCCTCCTCGGCGTCAAGGTATTCGATGGCACCTGACTCAAGCAGGCCTTGCCAGCCGAAGTAATCTTCATGGTATTTGCCAAGCTCCTTATCCTGCTCAAGTCGCCTGATATGCTCCTTGGTAAGGATGAGCTGACCCTTTTCGACACCAGACTCGCCGTTGTCTTCTTGCTCGACAGTGAACAGCGGCCTCATGACTCTACCGGCATCGGAGAAAATCTTGAACTCTCTGTCACGGATGTCGCGAACCAGCGAAACCTCGAAGGAAATGATGTTCTTGCGTCGGAGGTTCTGGACAAGAGTGACCAAGTGCTTGGGATCTTGGTGGACACCAACCCAAGTACCGTTGACAAAGACCTTTGTGGCATTGGGATACCGCAAAGGCTCGTACTCCTCCAAAACTTCCATGTTTCTGGCAACCATGAACTCGATGATGGGATCGGCCAGCGTACCCACGGAGACGAAGCACATGAGAGACAAGTTCTTGACCAGACCGCAAGCCTGACCTTCTGGCGTTTCTGCTGGGCAGACCAAACCCCAATGTGT